CAAACAATTTTTCAAGGGGGTAGTCCATGAGCAACCCGGATACAGAATAGTTTGGTTTGTTTGGAGGGTACACTATTGTGTCGAGCTGCTTTCCTGAGGTCATGATTTTTTGATTTTTTTCAATCATTTCCTTTACCTTTTCCTTTGCTAGCTAAAGTGTTTTCCTTTCAATCAATTTCTTTCTTAGTTTCTTTCATTTGAAATTCTCAGAAATGACCAGTTTCCCAAAATATATGATGCCTTATTAAAACCCAATTAAGAAACATCACTCAAACAATTTTTCAAGGGGGTAGTCCATGAGCAACCCTGATACAGAATAGTGTGGTTTGTTTGGAGGGTACACTATTGTGTCCAGCTGCTTCCTGAGGTGGTTTTGTTTTTTTTTGCAATCATTTCCTTTACCTTTTCCTTTGCTAAAGTTTTTTCCTTTTAATTAATTAATTACTTCTTAGTTTCTTTCATTTGAAAATCTCAGCAATGCCCAGTTTCCCAAAATATATGATGCCTTATTAAAACCCAATTAAAAAACATCACTCCAACCATTTTTTAAGGGGGTAGTCCATGAGCAACCCTGATACACAATAGTGTGGTTTGTTTGGAGGGTACACTATTGTGTCCAGCTGCTTTCCTGAGGTGATTTTGTTTTTTTTTGCAATCATTTCCTTTACCTTTTCCTTTGCTGAAGTTTTTTCCTTTTAATTAGTTAATTACTTCTTAGTTTCTTTCATTTGAAATTCTCAGAAATGCCCAGTTTCCCAAAATATTTGATGCCTTATTAAAACCCAATTAAAAAACATCACTCAAACAATTTTTCAAGGGGGTAGTCCATGAGCAACCCTGATACACAATAGTGTGGTTTGTTTCGAGGGTACACTATTGTGTCCAGATGCTTCCTGGTGTATGTTTTTTTCAAGCATTCCCTTTACCTTTTCCTTTGCTAAAGTTTTTTTCTTTTATGGTATTTCTATGGTATTACTATTGGATTTCTATGGAATTCCTATGGGGTTTCCATGATGTTTCTATGATATTTCTGGAGGATTTCTATGGGATTTCTGAAGGGGTGCTATGGGAGTTCTATGGTATTCTTATGGGATTTCCATTGGATTCCTATGGGATTTTTATGGTATTTCTATGATCTTTCCTATGGAATTTCTATTGGATTCCTGTGGGTTTCCCAAGGTATTTCCATGATGTTTCTATGATCTTTCTATGGGATTTCTGAGAGATTCCTATGGGATTTCCATGTTATTTCTATGATCTTTCTATGGGATTTCTGTGAGATTCTTATGGGATTTCCATGTTATTTCTATGATCTTTCTATGGGATTTCTGTGAGATTCCTATGGGATTTCCATGGTATTTCTATGATCTTTCTATGGGATTTCTGTGAGATTCCTATGGGGTTTCCATGTTAATTCTATGATCTTTCTATGGGATTTCTGTGAGGTTCCTATGGGATTTCCATGTTATTTCTATGATCTTTCTATGGGATTTCTGTGAGATTCTTATGGGATTTC